TTTCTTCCAAGAGGACATAGAAGTTCCCACCCGGACACATTGTTCGCGATCGCAGAGGAAGGCTTTAATCCACCGAATTATAGAGGGATGGGTACCAAGCAGGGTTAACTCTTTAATAATAACATTGTGGTCTACTAGGTCAAAACCTTTCTTGAAATCTGCAAAGAACAATCTGGCAGTACAGGAACCTCTCTCAAGAGCAACCAAGATTGAATGTAAAAGGTACACCAAAGCGTGGGTCGTTGATTTCTTTGGGAGTGCAAATTGTTTGGTGTCAAGTTTATTTACAACTTCAGGAAAAAAAATTGTCCAAAGTACAATCCTCCATAACTTTGGCGATCTGAGATGTTAAAGATATTGGTCGTAGGTCGTCTTCAATACTCTTTGGGGGTGATACCTTAGGGACAGGCACTACAATAGATCTCTTCAATGCCTTTGGGAAGGTGCCTTGTGTCATGGATGAGTTGAAAATGTCTGAGATAACTGGGGCAAGCTCAAAGGCAAATGTTTTCAGGATTTTATTTGGAAACATGTCAGGACCCGGTGATTGTGTGGTTTTAATTTTACTAAGTTTCCTATAGATCTGTTGGGCGTCAACGAGGTAATGATTTGGTACTTCTAGGCCCTCCTGGATTTCGTCGAGAGTTAGAGGGTCAAAATGTGATGTAAGGGCAGTAAGAAAGTTATTAAAATTTTCGGCCAGTTCTTCACAATTCCGAACATCATCAGAAAATAGCTGAGAATACCAAGAATTTTTTGACGAGAGACCACCAATGGCTTTCACTTCTTTCCACCATCTTGCCGGGTTAGAATTTTTCAATTTCTCAACTGACCTCATATAGTAGATCTTTCGTGCAACTTTAATGCATGATTGGACTCTGTTACGCCAATATTTATAAATATCTGAATTTTTCCCGCTTTCGGGTAAGGCTTTTTGGCGTCTCCCAATAGCAGACTTTATTGATGACGTCATCCAAGGCTTATCACACTTTCGTACTTTAATCCGTTCCAAGGGAAAGAATTTTTCAATCATCACAGTCATTGTATCGTTAAACTTTTCATATTTTGTATCACAGTCATGTATGTCCAAGATGGGAGGCCAGTCAAATGTAGTGATATATCGTCCAAAAGGCCGTATCCTGCTATCTCTGAGATCGCGTTTCCATATATGTGAATTGTCTGGCTTTGAGGGAGAAGGTTGGGCTTTCATAAGAATCGTATAATGATCACTGGTTCCAATGGGAGGGAGTTGGATTGATTCGTAAATATTATCCACCTTTGAGTTGGTTAAACACCAGTCTAAAGTTACATCAGCTCTGGTAGCTACCTTGACTATCTGCGTCAGACCAGCAATTCTTTTAAGATGGTTTGCATCGAGACCAGTGCTTCTAAAATTGAAGTCGCCCGTAATTAGGACCAAAGCTTCAGGGTGGGAATATAAAAATGAGTCCACATTGGTTTGAATGTGTGAATACAATTCTACATTTTCAGTTTGGCGGGATGCTGTTGAATGGTAAACAACAGCCAGTAAGATAACCGAGATAGAGCGGGGTAGCTTCTTTGGTCTCACTGATAACCACAGTGATTCAATCGAAGAGTTTTCAAATTCCTCAATTCGTCTACAATAGATATTGCTATTTATGTAGGCACAAACACCTCCGCCGTTTGAAACCAGTCTATCATTCCTAAACAGATTGAAATTGGACAAGGATACCAAATTGTCAGGAATTGCAGGAGATAACCAAGTCTCTGTAATGCAGACCATGTCCGTTTGGTTAAAAGACACCACAGCGTCAAGTTCGTCGACCTTGGACGTCAGGGAGCGGAGATTACAAATTAAAAGGTTTGGTATTTTGGTGGAGGGTAACGTAGACTCAAATTTTATGCGTTCAAGTGTATTAGTTTTTTGGACTGAATAGGAGTATCGTGATGGAGTCGATTCTGGTAGATCGCTGATCGGGAAAAGCATAGGAATGCACGTGGGAGAGGACTCAAGGGAAATACATGGAGTGGAGCTCTGTTTAGAAGGATTTAGTAAAATCTGTTTTGGTGGATCTGGGAGGATAATCGGGGAAAACTGGACGAGGGTAGTGGGATTTAGGAAGTGTATTAGAATTAACATCAGCTTCGTCCGTTAGGGCAGTATGCCAGTTTTCTAAGATTATATGCAAAATTTTGTGATTGTCTCTGTCGATTATTTTAGCATAGGCTAAGGCAACCTACTCAGATTTCATGCCACCCAAGTTTACCACCCTTGAACAATCCTTTGTATTCAGTTATTTCAATTAAGATTGTCTCCGAGCAAAGCGGAACAGTCGAATACGAGCGCGAAATGCTTGCTAGAAATCTCTAATAAATTCATTAATTTTTTAGCAATTCCCAGCAAGCCTTTCGCGCTCGTATTGACTTCCGCTTTGCTTACGGACAACCTTAATTGAAATAGCTGTATATACCCACCGAATGCTAAGACTGATAGCCGAAAGCTTGTAACAAATAAATATTTCAGACAAAGACGATTCTAGTCAAAGACGATTCTTAAATAAATTAATTTGTGAAGGCACTTAAACTGTTTTTCGTGCAAACTTGAATGCATTTAAGACTTGAAAGTTAAAATGAAATAACAGATATGGAAAAAATGTGATCTCGGAATCCTGACCAACATCTTCAAGTTTTCAAATGTATATCATACTTCCTTAATTGTCCTTAAAAAGACAACTATAAGACTATTTTAAGTTAAATGGAAGATTAAGTCAACAGGACTATTAAGTAAAGTGGACTATCATGTCAAGAGGACAATTAAGTTAAGTAGACTCTTTAGCTAAAGAGACTTTGGATATTAAAATACCATTTGTATAAATGGCATTTTAATAAGATGTACAGTGTGTATCAAAATAATTCGAATCCAAATTTGACAGACTGCTGTTTATAAAATACTAAAGTAAACCATATAATTTTTATATGGCAATAAAGAATAGCCTATTAGGTTTCCGATTATATCGTTCTTATATCAATAAGATCAAAAATGACCAAGAAATCGTGTGTTAAAACTGGTTGCTCGAAATCAAGTTTTTCCGCCGATGGGAATTCGAAGTGAGACGTACAAACAAAAGATAATGCAAATTTAATTAATCAACAAACTGTTATGTAGCAAAATTTACATAAATTCGTGTTCATTTAAAGAGATTTAAGCTCCTATGCCTTCAACATGTTGAACGAGAAGAAATTCGCGTTAAATTTGCATTTAGTTTTCAGTGATGATTAGCATTTCAAAGCCTTGTGGGACTAACTTTGAAAGAAAAAATGTCCAATTCCCATCGGCGGAAAATTGTGATTTTTATGGACTTTTTTTGTCAAAGCAATACTCCTTCATTTTCCAACTAAATGACGCGTACAGCATGTCATTTGAAAGGTAAATAAACGAACTTAACAATGGTGTAAAAACCAACCGAATTTGTCAAATATATTCTGCGTTATCACACGCCAAATTTGGAATCGAATTATTTTGATACACACTGTATAATTGCCAATTATACAGATCATACGATGAGTGAAACCAAATTATGACATTTGATATTTTTATTGAGCCCGCCGCACACGAGAGAAACTTGCTGAGCTAACCGCCTCGCTTGGCGGTTAGCTCAGCTATGTATTTTCACCGCACACGTTGGAAAAACTTCTTAACAACAACATAATTGACAAATTCGTTTGCATTTTCCTTCATTGAGTTCAAAGTCACATGAACAAACTCTGGTTTCTCATTGGCTAATTGATGCAAGCAGCTTAGCACTAAGCTCACAACATCCGCAGGCGTTGAGATTTTTTCCTCGCGAGGTGAAAAATATCAAACACGACAGATATTTTTCTCAAGGCCTCATGAGGTCAATTCCTAACGAAAATTATCCACAGACGGGAGAAACTAGCTGTGCTAGCTGCCACGCGAGGCGGTCAGCAAGTTGCTCTCGTGTACGGTAGGCTTTAGACTATGGATGGGATGTTTTGGAGGCCTCCCTTAGCCACTTGACCACTAGATTCACGGATCAACATTTCATATTTCCGATCGTGAATTCCCAGTCCATCCGTTACTAATGGTACAGATCGACAACATTTTCGAGGCCTCCCTAAGCCACTTGACCACTAGATTCACGGATCGACATTTCATATTTTCCGATCGTGAATTCCCAGCCATCCGTTACCAATGGTACGGATCGACAACATTTTGAAGGCCTCCCTTAGCCACTTGACCACTAGATTCACGGATCGACATTTCATATTTTCCGATCGTGAATTCCCAGCCATCCGTTACCAATGGTACGGATCGACAACATTTTGAAGGCCTCCCTTA